TCTCTCTCACACACACACACACACACACACACACTTTTTTCTTTTCCCCCACAACAGAGAGAAAATATACTATCTGCAAAGTCAACACTATTTTGCAGAAGATTTTTAAAATCTGAAAATCTTTAACTTTCAAAGAAATCAGCTAACATTTTACTCTCTGTTTTTTTTTTTTCAATATATGATTTAGAAAGAGAACTTTTGTTACCCATCTGTCCTTACTTAAGAAACTGGAGAAACTGACTCTGCAAGCATGTCACATCATCATTTGTGTTGTGTTGGCAGGGGATAGATGTGTATTTCAGAGGATGCGCTCTGAAAACGTTTCAAATATTTGGGCTTTTGAAAATGTATACTCAATTACAAGGCATGCCTGTTGCTTTAGCCAGCTTGAGGCAGCGGAAGTTCTAAACAGGAACAAGTGGCCTTTCCTTGACCCCCCTCAACCCTGCTGCTCACTTTTCTTGTCTATAGTAAAAGCAAAGTTAAAGTTTTCTTTTTTTTTCTTCTTCTTCATCATTTGTATGTGTTAAGTGCCTAGGAGTGCAAAACAGTTATGGGCATTCCCAGTGCACTCTTTATATCCTGTGTTTATCATTTAGATATTTAGGAAAATAATTTATCAATGATAGTGAATGTTCTAATTGGACAACTTTGAAACTCGAGGATGCCAAAAATTGACGCAGGCTGTGAGTGGGCTTCCTACAAGAAAGAACCAAAATTGAAATGTCTGTGGCGTTTCTGTCAGTTTGAGCAAGACCCCTTCTGTGCTTTTAAGTTAAGCATTTCTCTGAGAATCTCGGGGAAATTACCTTTAAAGACATGTAGCTGCCTGGCTCTTCCCGTTCCCTGGTTCACCTTTTACTGTGGGTGGGTTATTGTTGTGCAGTTCCTTCCTGTCCTTAAGACAACGCAGTGGCTGGTTGGTAGGATGGCTGAAGGAGTGATGCAGCCCGAATGACGTTTGGGAGGTTCCTTAGGAGAGTTAGCATGCTTACAGCTGATGAAAGATTTATCGACAGCCACATGGATCAGACTACCTTCGGTTTGGTGTTCCTCATGTATCCCAGAATGCCTCCTCAGGCCTGAATGCCAGCCAAATGCCTGGCCATTGCTTTCCAGAGCACCACAGTAATGGCTGCCTCTGTGCCTGCAATAGGGAGCTTGCAAAAAGAAAATAGACAGTAAAGGCCTTTTTGTTAGAAAATACTTCAAATTTGATCTAAGATATTTTGGGACCTCTTATTCGTGGAAGAGAAACTGCCGATGCTGATATGGGTTAGATCGGTCAACCTACGATCAGCTGATTTGACAAGCATCTGTTATAATGCTGAAGATTTGTAAACACTAAACAATGTTTTTACCTCCTTAAAAGTTTTGAGAACTTGCCAGTATTGGCACGAAGCAGAGACTCTGGAGCGTGCTTCCCAATCCATGCCAAAACCATCGTGGCCTTTGCACCTGTAGTGCGTTTTTTCCCCATTTCTTTGAAAATGTACTTTTTTCCTTCTTGAATGCCTCCTCTCCTCTACACCACCATCCCCTTTTGAAATATGTACATTGATTATCACTTCATGGACTGGCTGGGTTTTTGTTGTTGTTGTTTTGTTCTTTTTGTTTTTATTATTATTATTATTTTTGGAAAACATTAAAATGTGAATACTGGAAGCAAATGCATAATCAAACATTTGTTAAAAGCAGAGTTGATTTCCCCCTACCACCACCCCGAGGCTTAGAGATGATAAAAGCCAGTGCTTTGACTACATCCCTAAATCTGGTGGTATTAGAACTGTGTGATTTTTGTGTCAAATAAACAGTAAGAAGTGTAGTGAAGTCACGTGATTCCATAAGCCTGAGACTTTCATCTTGTTCAGTCCATGAAATAACAAAGCCATTTTATGTCTTTAATTTGGTCTCTATTTGCATTGTCTTTCCTGTGTATCATATGACGACTTGGTGGTATTATGGTATCATGTCCAATGGCTTTCTTTGTGGGCATGTAACAGTAAAGCTAATTTATGACCAGCCTTTACCAGATGATCTGTATCAGAATCTACAATATACCCGGCACGTGGCAAGGTCACAATTTAAGTTGTTAAGGTCATAACCTTAGCCACCAGGCATTTGACCTTTTAGATAAAGTTAACCTTTGTTCATTAGTAGGCACTCAACCGAGAACTTTCTGGAGAGTTTTTTCTTTCTTTCTTTTCTTTTTCCATTTTTTTTGAAACTGCTTCTGTATAACTTCTGGAAATGTAATCAGATTCTAAGGATTCTGTTAAGTTAGTTAAATTTTGTTAAGAGGTTGGACTTTTAAAAGGACTTCTTTCTTGGACGGAGGTGGATTGCTTTATTTACGACACAAAATGATAGTCACTGTTTATGTTTGGTATTACCTGGTGTGGAGTACAGCCACAGCTCTGAGATAGTCTTTGCATGTGGTGACACTTAAAATCTAAAATTAAACAAATGGAATTATGTTTAATTCAACAGAGGCCCTTGCTAATTTGCAGGTGGCAATGGGCCCAAAGCTGAAGCACACTGAGCCATTGTCACTTGCTAAAGGTGAGGAGTTTTCTAAGATTGCAAGTATTTTTAGCTGTCTTAAAAAATCCACTTGGAAAGATTAAGTGACCAAAATTGTCAGCAAATTGCTGCAACTGCTAATTAGCCAATGACAAAGGAACTGATGCCATCGTCACGGCAGTGCGAGGATGCCTGAGTTTTAAGATGGGAAGTGAACACTTCTGCAGAGGAACCTTGGAGTACAGGAGCTGTTGCTTGGTCTGTCTCTGCCCTTGCAGGAAGAGCTGTTTCAGTATCCCAGCAGCTTGGTACCCATCCTGTAACCTGCAGGGCCGTAGTACTCATCACCGCATGGTCTGTACCAAAGTGTTCCTTTGGTTATGCTTTCAGGCATCCTCATTTTAAGTCGGAACTCTGCGAGTTTGGCTGGGATGAGCCACGTGTTTCCATTTCAGCCAAAAGAGGAGCTATTCCCATTCAGGTGCACGTTAGTTTTATTTTGGCCTCGTGACTGCCATTCCTTCATATAGTACTAGAGAAAGCCATGATATGCAGATAGACCAGATGGTCATGTTGACAGATTGAGAATTCACTTCCTACTGCTTCAGAGCAGGTGTAAGATGGGGAGTGCCTGAGTGTGTGCTTTGTGTGCATGTGTGCACACCCAGGCTGCACCCGGAGTGCTGCTTAAGCAGGAGCAATGATTTCAATAGTATTCAAAATATACTTTTTAAAATGTGGAATAATTACACATGAGGCTACAGTACATATAAACTAATTTTAAACATTAAAAATGAGTCATTATTTTGTTATATTTTATAATTCTATATCCAATTATTTTTTTTTGCAATGTACCAATTTTAGGTGACTTAGCACATTTGTTAGAGGGAGTGTTGCATTTCTAACATATATTCAGCATGTTCTGCTGGCAAGTGTATGTGTATATGTGTTTATATTCAAGACTAGAACTGAACATATATAATTAAACTTCTTCAGAAGCTTAACAACCTCCCTAGCAGAAACTTGTGGACATAGTTCCCATGGTTTGTAGTGATAAAGTATGTTTGGAAAAAGAAGGGATAAGACTAATATATGGTGAAACTTAAAATTAAGAGAGACCTAGTCTGTATCCCAAATTCCAGTCCTGACCTTAAGTCAAATTCATGGTAGAATTTTTGGCTCATTGGTTATATTGTAACTTACTGATTCATGTATACAGTTTTATCTCTTAATTCTGTAAAGACAGTTCTAGCAACCAACAGACTTGAGATTAACTCTGACTTTTAGAGCCTTAAGTGAGTAACCTGAGGATAGTAACAATAGCCTTTCCCTTGAATGCAGTAACAAAATCCTGTGCTTAGACCATAGCGAAAAAGATGGACGTTCAAAGGCAGAGAGCTCACAGGAACACAGAGCAAAAGTTGGTTGAGAGGAAGCCTTTGAATGGAAGTCAGTTTGTTTATGGCTAAGAGGTTTGACTGTGTTGGTTAGAAAATTTCCCAATGCTATTGGCATGGTTTGCCTGTCTTCCTTCCCACCCCGTGATGAATAGCATTAATTTAAACCTATTTAAGGCTAGTGTGGGAGAAACCACAGCTTTTGTTGTGGTCAGTGCTGTACACAGTAGGACTGGGTTAGGGCCTGGAGCTCCTTCCAGAGGACGCAGAACAGCCCGTCGGCTCTTTAAATCTCCCACAGAAGCAATTGCTCCTAAATGTCAATATAGATTATTGAAAACAATACTACGGATTAGAAGAGAAGAAAAAAAATGCAGATTGAGTTTAGCAAATGTGCTAAAATCTAGTTTTGTACCATTCCTTAAGTAATTCCTTTGTGGTTATTTAGAGGCGAGAGCTTGCTCTTAACAATATTATAAGTTGTAAACTCTTGTGGGAAGAGGAAGGAGCCAGGTGGAGGAGGAAAAGTATGAAGAAACGGTATGCATTGACAAGGGAAATGTAAAACTATAGACTTAACTGCAAGTGGAGATACTCTGAAGGAGTTTTGGCCTAAGCAGCAACTGTGAAGGATCTCAGGCAGGAGGATGTCAAGTGGAGAAGTTTATACCTTTGTGTGTGTGTGTGTGTGTGTGTGTGTGTGTGTGTGTGTGTGTAATTAGTTTGAGGCAGAGTTGCTACTTGGAGTTTCAAGGTTCAATTCAAAACTTTAGAAAACAAATATTGTACAAAGACTTCTTTTGGGTTTAGGCATTCAGCTAAGGACTCTAGGATGCATACAGCTTGGCAAGGGTGCTGTGGTCATGCTTCTGATTTCTGTTGATTTGCATCATGTAGCTCACAGCGCAGGCCGGGCTGGCCACTCTCAGGCTCCCTCGCACTGATGTAATGGTAGCCCACACATTATAGATCTAGACTCTGATGTCTCTGAGCGAGACAGAATTTTCTCACTTCTACTTAAGTAGAAGTGGCTTTTCCCCTCTTCTGCCGCCCCCCGCCGCCCCCCCGCCGCCCCCATATTAGAAAACACATACTCATTTTATTTTTTATTATGGTCACTGCAGTGTTTTAGCTAATAGAGCTAGCCCTCCCGTCACTGTTCTAGTTAAATAAATATGGTTTTGGAGATAAAGAATGATAAGTCCAGCAGCGAATGGCAAAGGCAGAAACTTTACAGCGGGGGGGGGGGGGGGGGGGGGGGGGGGGGAGGGAAACATGTTTGCTGTTCCGTTTGCAAAAGAGTCTCCATAGGACCAAGACGTCCTTTAGATCTGTGTCCCTTGGCACTTCTTGGTCTCCTATGAGCTCTCTGACATGTTGCTAACGCGTCCACGAACGGGTAGGCTGGCCACAGTGACGATGCACTGAAGTAGAATCATTTAATATCTTTGAGAACTTTTGTTGACTTTGACATCTTTGTATATCTCTCAAACACTTAACCTGGTGGTAGATACTTGCAACTCACATCAACTGGGAATACCAACACGGAGCCGGTAGGAAGGGGATGGGACTTGGCATGTTGGAGCTGAGGTTGACACTGTACCGAGTTCACTTGATACTTAGCTTGCTCTTTTTAACTTCATTTTGTTGTTGTTTTTTTTTTTTTTCAGTGCTGGGCACCCCCACATTGTTAGGGCAAGCCGCCTGCCTCAGATGACTCTCTGCACTTCTTCTCTTTTCTTTCCCTTCCCTCCTTCTTTCGCTCTTGAACTCGTTCCTCAGATTAGTATCGTCAGTAACAGAACTCCGCAGAGCAGCCCACAGCAGCATTATTTGCTCAGAGTGACATCCAGGAAGCTCTCCTGTCTCCAAACTCTTCCAAACTAGTGTCTTAGTAACCCAAATGCCATTTAAATGGTGCCGCACACCCCCCTAGAAGCAAGGGAGAACTAAACTGTAAACTGTAAACCTTTCCAGGGAGCTATTTTCCTGTACAGTTCAAGTCTTAGCCATAGAAGAGGCCACGGTTGCTTAGAAGAGAAATGGTCTCTTGTCAGTGTTAGGGTCAAAAATCTGGAATGAGTTATTTGTTCTTGTTTTCAGAATGGTGAAGTGAATAAATGTATTTTGAAAGAGGATTAAAATAATTTTTTAAAGACAGATTAATGAGTGCTAGATATTTTGGGATGACAGTCAATATTAAATTAAGTATTAACCTAAAGATCTTAATTTTTAACATTTATATGCAATTGAAACATATTTATATATGTAAAAGGAATAGTACTTTTAATTTGTAATGATTTAATTTTAAAATTTGAAAATTGCTTTGCTTTGAAATTTGCCTTTGGTTTTTACTTTGATAATATAAAAGAAAGCGAAAATAATGTTCCAAAAAAGGAATTTTATTAGTTTAATTTTTAAAAATTAAAATAGAAAAATATAAAAAAATGATTCATTTTAATTCCCGTATTTTGATTTTTGGAACTTAGACAAGATTAGGGTGTTTTGTTTCATTTTGTTTTGTTTTTCAGGGGTAGGGGGCCACTTTTTGAGACAGGGTTTCTCTGTGTAGCTCTGACTGTCCAGAAACTCAGTCCGTAGACTTGGGTATTAAAGACATGCACCTCCATACCCAGCCAAGATTAGTTCTTAATGATTGCAATGCAAAGCCTAAAAGCCACACAATGTGAATTTTATCATTGTAAATAGAGTAAAAAGAGTCACCACTCCAACTTACACTATATTGGCCCATTGTATGTATTAATTCAGCTGCTGAGTTGAATTTTTATTAAATAAAGCAGAAATGTCACTTTTGTTCTATGAGACAGAGTTTCACTGTGTAATCCTGGCTGGCCTGGAACCTGTTTATGTAGGCCGGGCTGAACTTACAGAGATCCACCTGCCTCTGACTCCCGAGTACTAGGATTAAAGGTGTGTGTCATGTTGCCTACCTTGAAATAAGATGTGTGTGTGTGTGTGTGTGTGTGTGTGTGTGTGTGTGTGTGTGTGAGACTTTTGAAATAATCTATAAATTAAAAAGGCAATTACTAGGCTAGGTCTAGTGACTCAGTCCTATTATCTCGGCATTCAGTAGGCTGAGGCAGGAGGAGCACCAGCTTGGGCTACAGAACTAGGCCCTCTCTCAAAAAGTCAAGAAAGAGAAGAGGGAGGATATTAAAAAAAAATCTGTGAAACTGTGAAGCACTTGCCCTGTTAGGTTGCTGACCTTGATGCTATCATCTGGGTGATTTTATTCCATTTCACAGTCTTGCTAGTTCAGGCCTGGCTAGTACATCGCCTTTGTGCTGTTGGAGAAAGTAGCTACAGTAAGTTACGCAGCTTGTTCTGCGGAGGAATATTTGGTAGGGTAAGGTATTTGCAGTGAGTAACAGGGACAGTCCAATTACAGTGTTAGACATTTTTTTTTTCTTTTTCAAGACAGGATTTCTCTGTGTAGTTTTGGTACCTGTCCTGGATCTCGCTCTGTAGACCAGGCTGGCCTCCAACTTAGAGATCCGCCTGGCTCTGCCTCCCGAGTGCTGGGATTAGAGGCGTGCGCCACCACCGTCCAGCTGAATTTCTTAATATTAGAAATTTGAAGCTGTCTCTTCTGTGTGGATGTGGTTTCCCTTTTTCTGCTGGAGGCATTTACAGTTATGTACATTTTAATCTTAAAGGGATTAAATATTTAAGTTTAAGCTCCTGCATAAAATGATTGTTGTACATACAGGATTCCTTATTGTCACTTTCAAATCCTCCACTGACTTCCAAAGGAGCTGACATAGAAAACCTTAGGGTGACAGATTCTCATCAACTTTCATGAAAATGTTGACTGCAGAAAGAGCCAGGTTCAAAGAGGGCTATGGACACGTGGACCAAAGAGTTGAAGTGACCTGGAGCCCTTCCCTCTGCCATTTTGGAGCGTTCTAAATGTGTGTGTGACAGGGACACATCAAGTTTACTGTAGAGTATAAGGTACAGTGTGTCTACATATTTACCTCTGTAGCTCACTGTCACATGGTTGTGTGGGTTCTGTTATAATATCACACTAACAATAAAAATTATAGATATCTTTTATGCTGATGCTTTTATTTTATTTTATTGGTTTTTGTTTTTTGAAACAAGGTTTCTCGGCGTAGCCCTGGCTGTCCTGGAACTGGCTCTATAAACCAGGCTAGCCTAAAACTCAGATCTGGGTGCCTCTGCTGGGACTGAAGGCTTGGCCACCACGCCCGCCATATGCCGGTGGTTTCCATTACTTAGTGTGTATTTAAAAATGTTGTCCGTGTGGAAAATGGTGTAGTAGAGAGCATGTTTGTAATATCAAGTGATTGAAAACTAAAGTGCTTGACCAGTGTTTAGGATAAACAAGGATTCTAGATAAGAATTTGGCTACAGTTTGTTTGCATGAACAATGCTTGTGTCTTTGTAGGACTGGCAGGACTCTTGCGTGGATGTGTATCATATAAAAATGAGTGAGTTCCTGAGCTCACTGGTGGATTCATTTAGTTGGCCTCTTTTTCCCTCCTTGTAAAAGGCAGAGGTTTTTCTTCGGGAATTTCGTTTCCAGGACTTCTGACAATGCAGTCTGTGTGATACTCTGTGCAGCAGGGTAGCACTGCTGTGTGTGTCTGCCAGGGAAGGACAATCATTGTGGGGCTCTTCTGGCCTGTCAGTAAGTGGTAAGGACTTTGATTCAAATTTATTTTAATGTACTTTTGAAACTCACTCCCATGGCCTTTTTCAATGACTCTGGGCTGGTGAGATGGCCCAGGGCGTAAGGGTGCTAACTCCACAAAAGCTGCCGGTCTCCGTTGGGCCCCTGGAACACACGTGGAGACGGAAAGAGAACTGACTCCACAACGTTATCCCCTGACCTCCACACCTGCGCCACAGCAATGTGCTCTCCCATATCCTGCTCACGCACACACCTACAGAATAATAAGACATTGAAAATGATTACTGTATTTAACATTTTTTAAAGAATTATTGCTCAATATTTTAAAATTTTTATGTTTTGGAGTTTCAGTAAAATGTAATGAGGATAATAATTTAAAAAAATAATACCTTACCAAGCCCAGACTATATATTACATATAATAATATAATTATCATATCTTACATATAACATATATTATCTAACATATATAATTATATATATATATGATACATATACACAGACACATTTTTTTTGAGAATATTTCAGGCTGAAAGATTACAGTTAAAGAAGTAATTGTTCTAAAGATATGTGTCCCTCGTCTCAGAAAAGATGAAAAACACGCACAGTGAATAAATGCAATCCTTTGTACTTTCGCCACCTACATTTCTTAAACTACAGCGACTGATTTCTCCAGAAAGGTCAGAGGTATCAAACAAAAAGCTTTGTGATTCTTCAAAGAGAGACATTCCGAGTTTTGCACTGTAGAGACCGACTGTGCCTAGCTTTCGCTTCATTTTCGGTTGAGCCTGGGAGGTGACTGGGTGGAGGGTGGCAGATGTGTGACACGGGTCCTGAGACCAAGGACTCGTGGGCGGGCAGATGGGTAGAGAGCCGGGTTAGACAGCAGCATTAATGCCACCTCGGCTCTTTGCTATGAAGTCACTTAGTTTAGAAGTGAGCTCTGAGGCCTTAGGGGTTCGGATTGTTTTGCAGTCGACACGGGGCAGCCAGAGAGGCTTGTGTACCAGGGCTTGTGTATTTGGGTACCATGGCTTCGTGGAGTTTTATACACTGTGTAGATGGGTTTCTTTGATTTTCCGCAAGCTGGTTTGTCTTTACTTTGTTTCGTTTCTGACTTCTCCTAGCTTGAGGGGATCGTTCCTGTTGAATGTGGGAGACTAGTTACGTTCAGAAGACCTGTGTGAGTGGCTGTCCTTGCTCAGGCAACAGGGCCAGAGAGCAGAACTCACTCAAGTCAGACGATCAGGAAATAATGAAGCCTGCATTTAAGCTAAGTCTCTCAGATCCCCTGCTTGTGTTTTTAAAATGCAGTATTTGTCTAGTCTTTTCTTACGTATCGCCTTACTGGCTCTCCACATAAACCTTAACGTTTGGGTTGAAGTGTGTTCGTAATTACCTGTTTTTAGTAGGAATCAGGTTGAGGAACTTGTCCCAGGTATGATCGTAGACTGCTCTTCTGTGGCTTCTTTTTTATCTCTGAGATACCCTACAACACACCATACTCTAAGCCCTGGTTCTGAAATTACAGCGGTTAAAAAAAATATGTTCTCTAGAATGATATGATAATCTTGAAATCCATGGTTTATTTAGAAGCTTACAAAAGGTGGTATAAGAAACCTCTCAGAACATTATCTGTGTTGGTACTAAATTTGCTTTCTTACCTTAAATAAGAAACTCAGAGGCCCAGAACTTTATTTTGTAGGCAGGGAGCTGAAGTTCCTGCCTCCTAGGAACGCTGTGATGGAAGAAGCTGTGTGAATCGGTCAGCAGCTGCAGCATGTGGATGCTCTGGCTGATACTGGCCAGTGAGGTCAGTTTGGCTGCCTCTCTTGACAGATTCTACCATGGCACTGGCAGTTGCGTCATCAAACATACTTTCAGTTCTTACGGCCTCTTCATGGTGCTCAGTTCCCAAGACACAAGAACAGACCATGTAATGATTTACTTATCTTAGGTGTAATGCCTTCAGATATTAATATTTCAAAGCTTTTGACACTTTTACATTAGGGTCCTTCTAATTAATAGGCTGTGTGGGTCTTTAAACATTTGTAGAATGAGTTGTTCATTTTTTTAATTAAAAAAAGTGTGTGTGTGTGTGTGTGTGTGTGTGTGTGTGTGTGTGTGTGTTTTGACCTGATGAGGATGCAGGGGAGGGCTCATGTCATGATGTATGTGTGTGCCTGTGTTTGTGTAGAGAATAAGAACAACTTGTGGAGTCAGTCCTCTCTCTCTGCCTTCTTGTGGGTTTCAGGGAAGGGACTCAGCTCACCAGATTTGCTCCGTGAGTGCCTTTACCAGCTGAACCATCTCACTGGCCTTTGTATTGCTTTTTTAAAATGAGACAATTGGGGCACATTGAGGGTTGTGACATTTGACTATATTTCTATGTATTCAAGATTTTTTTTTGTATCAGAAATGTCCATGTAAATGTTCAGAAAGTCCAGACGTGGAATGGGGTGCCCATGCTTTCTGTTACTTAAGAGCTGACCGCTATGATATGTTTTCTCTTGAGTAAGCCACAGAGACATGTAATTTTTTTGTTTCCTTTTTTTTAAAGATGTCTCCCTTGTACTCATGAAATATGAAACAAATAGAGTTACAGGAAAGCCAAACATGAGGAAAACTAGAGTGGAAAACAGAAAGGAAGGGAAGCCTTGGAGAGCAAACTGTAGGGAATTCATTTGGCAGTTGGTGGCAGTTGCTAAAGCACAGCCAGGTTTCAGCGCTACAGCCTCCTCCGGTAGGGTTTTGCTCCCTCTCTGAGAGTTAGCTATGGCAAGACTTCCACAATGAAGCGGGTTTGAAGTTGCCAGGGTTCTGGAGTTGCTTTGCCTTCCCTTTTCATCGAAAGGTGGCAGGTGCACATTGCATTGCATTCAGATAGAGAGCACCCACAGCTACTGTGACTGTGTGTGTGTCAGTGTGGCGATGGGGTGGCCGGATCGTCTGTGGCAAAGTGTGTGTGGATGGTGAAAAGAGCCAGAACAGTTCCAGGGCTCGTATGAAATAACCAAAGAGCAGCAGGAAACGGGTAGTCCCAATGGCATAGGCTGGGGTTTGTTGTTCTCTATTTTTACTTGCTTGTTGTTTAAGCTGAAAGTGAAATCTGTCTCCACCACCACAACTGTGCGTTCTTCTCTCTGTATAAATCGTGGAATAAATAATTTGTTCTCCAGTTAGTTTCAAAACCCAGAAAATGCGGTGTGTAACGTTTACAAAATGGCACGGGATGGTCATAGAAACTCGTTCCGAGCACTGTAAATAAAAATGGCTGGGGATTAGTCTCAGAAACATGTGGGACGTCATGAAACTCAAGACGCAGCTCTTTGTTTAACAGTCGGTAAGAGAAATGAAGCAAACTTGATACAGTCCATGGGATGTTAGCAGTTCAGATCCTCCAGGGAAAAGAAAACCACATCGCCTTCGGGTTAGATAACCAGTATATACAAACGCCAGAGTGTGCCTGATGATTTCAGCAATATTTTGTATTCCCTTCATTTAAAAGTGTCTTACTTCCAAATAATGAACTTTTAAAAATTTGAAAATCTTTTTTTTTTTACCCCTAATCTTCAGAATTTTCCCCTTTCTCTTCCCTCCTCGTTGTTTCGGAATGCTTGAAAGCATTAACTTGATGCTGTTTCCTCTTCTATTTCTTCGTGTAGTACCAATAACACTGAATAATGAAAAACAATCTTCCCTAAAGTCCTAATGTCATGTATTTCTAAATATGTATATCCTAGTTGGAATTGAGTTTGTAATAATGCCATTAACGCTCATTTCTGGTTTTAAAGTCTTTAGAAGGAAATTGTTTCAGAGTATTATTCTCTTGAAAACTCGGCCCACATCTGGAAAAAGCATAGCTTGCCTTAGAAATTGCAGTTAATCCCCATCTGCATATTCCCACCAGGATGATATTTCACTAACCAAAGTATCTTTTTGGTTCTTTGAACTTTGGGAGAGCCAAGTTGGGGTTAGAGAATTTCAGGACTTGAAGAACTCGGTATTGAGGAAGGGCTTGGGCACGTGACAAGACCCCCTTGAAGTATGCTGCTACTGTGTAGTCCTTTTGTAACCAGGATAACAGATACAGTATTTAAATACTGCTAGCTGGAATTCAACTGAGCAAGGTGGGTAAAATGACCTTTCAGAGTTAACTGTTGAACCTAACTCTCCTTGAAATCAGAGAGGGCGTGTGGGAAAACAGGAATAAAGATTCTGTGTCTGGATCACACAGGGCCTCCCTGCTCTCTTCCTTCCTGCCTGCTGTAGGCTTCTACCCCTGGCATTTCAGTGGTAGCATATGCATCCATGTTTTGCTTCTTAACTGTGCTACTCCTTGGCTTGGAATGTACTAGTCCCACCTTTGCTTTGCAAATTTTGTCAAGACTCAGCTGTCTTCTCATTTCCTCAAGGAAACTTTCTTTTCATCCCAACTTGAGGTGAGGATCCTTTCCAGGCTAGCCCTGTGTTGGTATCCCCACCATCATATCCTGTGTCGTGATAAACGATGCTTTCTTTCTGGACAGGGACAAGCTTGTATTGCTTTGGATGGCCTGTGTATGACAGACAGCACAGGACCTGGCATTTAGTGTAGATCCTGTAGCATCTTTGTTCAACGAGTCACTAATGACCAAAAGGAGAATTGGGGTGGAGCACACTGAAATTGAGCAGCTTATGTTTGGAATTTTAAAAGCAGTAATAAGCATTGGGGATGTAGCTCAGGGGTGGTGTAGTGCTTGCCCGCTATATATGGGAGCCTGGGTTTCATTTTAAGTCCTGGGAAACAAAAACAATACAATATTTTTTCGTACCTGAGTGAGAATTGTTTCTCTCTTCTCAATCGTGTGAATCAGTATCTGTTTCTTCACCCAACTCTAGTTTCATATTAGCCCAGAGGAGTTGTGGATGTGTGAATAATTCTAATTCTGAATTGAAAGGTTAGAATTATTTATAAAAAAAATATTCAGGATATTTTCTTTTTAATTTCTAAGATCTTGTTCTTGACTTTCATCAGAGCTTTTTAACTTAGAAAAGATGCTGTTTAGGGAATGGAGTAATGTGTGTGTTACCCCAGCTCACCTATGAGGAAAGTCCTTCTTCAACATCAGGTGTCTGTTAACAACCCACTGTGCACTGTGCATGAGGTACACTTGATAGGCAGGGAGGCCACTAGAGACTCTATGCTACAGAATTTTTAGTGTATAAGTTTATTAAAAATGGGGCACTTCCTCAGAGTGCTCATTCAAAATTTTTTGTTGGTTTTGAATCACATTTTGTCTTGGTCTGCATGAGAGGTGTGTCAATCGCTCCTTATCTCCAGTGAGCCTTTGCAGGTTTGTGTGCCACCTGACTTATGGGGTCTATTTGGGGACTTATCCAAAATTGGGAGACACCATAGGTACCAGCAGAGAAGTTAAAGGTCACAGTCACGGTGTTGGGTCAGGTACCTTTCTCTTTGTAAAATCTAAAGCTTTCCTCTCATAAAACTGTTAGAACAGTTTCATTAGCTCCAAGAACCACAGACATATGCACATCTTCTTAGTTTAACTGAAGACTTGTTGATCACAGGTCACATAAACTTCAGGAAGAGAAACCTAAACTAACCCAAGAAATCCCAACACATACGCATCCATGATTTTATTTTCTATCTAGCACACCCATTATCAAAGCCACTCCACTGTAGAGGCTCCCAGAAAGTGTTTCTGTCTGGCCTGCCATTTATCTGAAAGCTCCTCCTGATTTCAGCAGAGGATAATGGATAAAGGATAATTTTGACAAAATACTGCTTTTTATTTTTAAAGCTAAAGCCTTATAAATAACGAGAAGCAAGACTTAGTATACAAAGATTAATGTTTGTCAAGTGTGAGAAAGTGTTTGCTCTCATAGAAAATTCTGAAACCAGGTTCTGACCACCCTTCCCTGGTGATCAGTCAACAGATACACATGGTGAGGAGACACCGAGAGACCAGAGCTTTTCCTCTTATATTTTAATTTGTCCTCAGACCTGCTTGGGAGGTAATAGTGTCCTCCCTGGGAGTATATACAGTTTAAAGTGTATCTTCTAATCCCACACTTTCCTGTGAAGTGTGCAATTCAGGTTGAAGGTTATAAGCTACTTGCTTACAAGGCAATAATCTTGAGAAGAGCAAATGTCTGTTTAGGTACAAATTTTAATGCAACAATTTTAAAGCTATCTTGAAATGTCAAAAAAAAAGCCCAATCAGGCATTGAAGATACAAATACCTTTATTATTAGTTCTTAAAATTATATCACAATTATGTTTTGCACTTATAATTTGAATTAGGAAGCATTCTAACTTTTTTTTTTTAAAAATCCCTCCACGTGTATTGATTTGTGGCCAGATACCTAGTGAAAATGCAGCACCTGGGAGAAAACTGGTTCCTTGTCCCTTGGTGCCGCTGGCGAAAGTCTGGCCGTCCTGTGATGCCAACTCTCCTGTTTGCAGTTGCCGGTGGGCCATCTCAGGCCTGAAGAGTGTGTGCAGAGGAGCAGCCATCCTGTCTGGTAGACAGTGACTCTGTGTGGGCCCTGTAGTGCACATCAGTGATGTGCTGTCTTATCTCATTATTCCTTTGTTTTCCAGTCGGACACACCGTGATCACCCCCATCCTGGCCAAGTGTGGATCTGTGGACTGCACTATTTGTGTTTCTCCATGAATGATGGTTGATCAGTATAGACCTTTTGAAGGCATTTTATTCCTATACCCATACGATCCTGGTGTGCTGAAGTCCTGACTGGGTCTGTGATTTTATAGGTGCCACCCCAACAGCAGGATTCACCTTTGGCCACCACATGCTCTTCATGTCCCAGTAATTAAAAAAAAAAATCGGGGGATGTTCATAGAGTCTCGTGTCTATAACTAGATTTTCTTTTTTCTTCTGGATTAGATCTCTGTGCTTCCCAGGCTGGCATGAGAATTCTGGCCTCAAGGGATCTCAGTGTCACAGCCACCAGGATAGCTGGGAGTGTGGACACAGG